ACGTGTTCAATGAATTTTTCATGCAAGTTATTGGCAACGTTCCATTAACATCTTTTCAACGTTCAGCTTTTAATGTTAAAGTTTCAAAGCAATGAAAAACAGATCAATTTGAGTTCCCTGAACGATGTGAATTTGATATTTGTATGGAAAGGGTTAAATGAAACTTTATACTTCAGAATTCATCCGATATGCAATGAACGTTTTTGATAAGTTCCCTTCATCACTTAAAATTGCATTTGGCATAGGTAGAGCCACTCATTAAGAAAACCACTCTCTTGGCTGTGGTTACAAACCATAATGTGGCAGATTAGTAGGATTGAAGGTACTATCTTACACTGGCTGGTATATTCCGGTGGAGATGTGTGAGAAAATTCAGTCGTACAACAAAAACGGATTTTCATGCTATCAGCAGATGCCTTATATTCTGGTGTCAGACCTTCCCTCTACCGAAACCCCTTTTAATGGGAGATATTATTATGAATACTGAAATTATTCTCCATGAAGCCACCTTGGAAATAGAATCATCCTCCCTCTATCGTATGAGCCAGAGTTCTCAGGAAACTCCCAGGATTGGTTTATCTCCAATGACGGACTTGTTCAAGAACTTGAGTAACTCTCGCTCTGGTTTATGCAGAGAAAGATCGACTACGTTGTGGAAAGTATCGGGGACTAATTCCATCTGTATCGGGAATTGACCCGTTGTAGCGACTACTTTGACGCCATCTATCTTCGGTTGTGCGACCCTTTTTTCTTTCAGCCGATGTCAGATGGATACCAATGGTGTGCTTGAGGAAAATGTCCTAAAATCGTTCGACGAATGTCCTTCAAATGCAGAAGATTTCGTGATTAAAGGCACCTTAACTGAGCGTCAAAAAAGGCGCTCGTTCCGTTACACTGGATGTCCAAAGACTTCTTTGATAACATGTTGAGCGTCCTCGAAAGCATTTATGTGCTACTTAGGCAATGTCATCTATATAATGAAATGTACTGTCGTCCGTGGTGGTGGTCGTGGTATGCGCGCACACTCGTGACAGACGAGTGCGCTCAGCGCGATCGCGTGTGCTCTCCCCATTGAGTCTTCTGCCTGCCACTGGGTGAACGTCTTCCTCTCTCGGGCGAGCATATTTTATTCCGGCCGTTGCGGCTGTCCGATCTTTCTCGAGAAGGTCATAACCCGGGGGATGGGGGAAGAGATCGGATGACAAAAGAGGACGAAAATAAAGTAATGGTGGGGACGAGAAGCGAATCCAGAACTTCCAGGTTGCTGGTCGCGAGTGCCACCACTACACCACCAAACCCAGGACGTTAATAAACCATGCCATCCCTAACATAACAACGGGAGAGAGAGGCATTCCACTCACACCTCCCGCTCTCTACCTATCGGGGTCCGATGCGGACTTTTCGTTAGGGACGTGTAAAACGTCCCCGCTTATTTCACTTGGAGTCCTTTTTCATCTCTGGAGGAAGGATGACTTCCTCGCCAGTAGGAGATCTCCGCCCATATTCATCGGGATCCCGACCCCTTTATCGATCGAAAACCCATCCTCTTATTCCTCAGAAAGAGGGTGACTCCCGAGGGTGAAAACGGCGGGAAAACCTGTATGGCACGGGAGCGCTTACTCTTGGATGGGAAAGACGACTTTGGCGGCGTCGTAACCATCCCGTTTCTCTATCATTCTCCAATTTCTCGAGTGGGCCTCAAGTTCCAGGCCTGCCCTTGCTGAGATCGCTTGGCCTACGAAGGTGATAACGTTACGCCGCCCTTGCATCATCACTGTCACTGCCTATTTTACACGCGGTGTGAGGCATGAAGTCAAACGGACTTTAGTTCGTTTGACGAAGTGAACGTTCAAAGGCAAACAAAAGCTAAAGAGGACGAAGGGGGACATCTTCGTGCATGGTAAAGTATCCTCGTTTTGCAGTCCAGTTAGACATACAAGGCTTCGGTGCTGTTTGCAGAACTGAAGAGGACCCATCCTCTCAAACTTCTCAGTACTCTGTGGGTACTGACCTATAGATACTGAAGAGGGTTTAACCTCTTTTGTATATGTATTTCATCATCATCGATCCATTTTGATGAATTTACCTCTACTTTATCCATGGAGAAACCCAATCACGAGGGACTCATTGAGGAATGTTGAATGAATGTTGCCATCAATATCGTTTCAACAGTAACAAGGAATGTTGAAACAATGTTGACAAAAATGACATCTTTACATTGAATCAATGTGGCACCTCAATGTTGTTTCAACATTATAAATGTTGCCATGAAACATTGTTTCAATGTTGTTTCCACATGGATGTGTTATCTGGGGCCTCCCATGGCCATGTGCGCATTCAAAGCCTTTAAATACATACGTGTTTTTGTACCAGATACCAACTTGTATGCATAAAGCTTGCAGGTCTCATTAATCCGTGATCATCTTCGGCACCCAATCGATGAATGGAGCGAAGTAGGCGACTGCGAATGGAGTAGAAGAAGATATCACCGCTATTTCATCATGGAAGCTAAAAATCTCAAGATTTCCGGCAGCAAGGGGGAGGCATCGTGGTGAGCGATGCCACCGTTCACTTGCGATTACAGCGGCAATTCTCGTCTCTTCGTTCTTCCGAGAGAGGGCGAGACGAGCGCGAACCGCCGATTTTCCGTGAAAGTTGAATCCTTCCTTTCCTGTGGCCGATTTGGAAATTTCATTTCTCAAAGGCGCATGATCACGCACGCAATATGTTTAACCTCTCCGAGGTCCTCCGGTTTGAATTATATAGAATGGGGGACTCTGCATGGAAGACTACAGCATACAAGTACATAAAGTAAAGTTGCAGCCAATAAGGACAGAGGGAACAGAGCTTTAGGTTCTCTGATTCATAGAGTTTCTACTAGCAAACTGAAATATTTACCAGGACTGCTTAAAACTTTTATTTTAATAAGGCCACAAGATTCCAAAGGTTAAATTGACATAGTGCACTACAAAGTGCCTAGTCTGTTACGAAACAAATGAAACATTTAGGACTAGATAACGGTGATTCACATTTTCAGGAAAATTGAGTTGATACTGTCACGATCTATACAAAGTAGATAAATCATCTTCTAATTATATATAGTTGCAATTTCCCTTACAATTCGCAGCACGGATAAATGTATGTATCTTTCCTTGTTTGGCGCGAGATAGTACTTTTGGCGCTGTGAAATTCATTACTGTCAGACCAGTCACTGTTTCCTTGCCTCTAATTGAAGTTCAGAGAGCAGGAAGATTCCATTTGTTCCACTCCGTATCTGTCCTCGGAAATGTCCTCCACTGTACCTTGAACGTAGTGATTTAGGAATTAATCCAGAAGGAATAGTGCACACCACAAAAGGAGGTAGATCCTCGGGCGCTGATTCTCGTGCCGAATTAGCTTACATCCCGTGGTCGCGTCTGTCAGCTTCGGCAGCTTTGCCTCTGGTTTGGATTCCACTCCTTATTCCCTATTTGTCCTTATCGCTTTCACGTGCAGACGATCTCCATTAAAGGTATCCGTTTGATTATTGCAGATGCCGTACATCATATCCTCTAGTGCGACTACAAATAAACAAGGTATCGGCATCTGGACCGGTCATCACTTGAGAACTCCATCGCTTCACAGCGGAATTCTCGAAGTTCTATCGGATGGGAGATGGAATGACGGCGTTCCACGCATGCGTACAGTAAGGAACAAAGTGAGAGTGCTTAGCATGATGTATTTATTTGGCAAGGTGTAGGACGGAATCTGCAAGAACGGAGAGACGATCAGCCAAAAGAACAGTCACACTGGCGAAGTAGTCACATCGGCGCTGCAGGCCAAACTTAGGCCAAATTTATATTTGAAATAGAGACATTTTGATACTCTGTGTTAATAATCATATTTACATCTTTTTTGCACTTCTCGAATGAAGTACCAGAAATGCTAGTTCTTTTAGGAGCATCACATGTTTTTCCTGATTCTGAGTAGTCGCGAATGCATTGCATCACTTCTTGATTGTGCTCCCTTTCCTGACCCTTCTGCATTCCTTCTACCGTTAATGAAGATAATTATTTTGACAAGAGTAAACGAGCACGGAATAATTCCAGAACATTTGAAAAAGAGAACATCACAAGCAACTCGAAATCAGCGATCCAAAGAGGTTTCCATGCAACCGGAAAAAAAAACTTGAAAAAAGTTTTCTCAGCTTTTTGACAGATTCAATCCCTCTTCGTCGTTACGATTGGTCTCGAGCGCAACGGATGGCATCCGGATTTCGACGCGTAACTGAATATGACATCTGGAGAGGAATCCCTTCCAAGTCCTCGCCCTCTCTGTTGGCTGGCGTCATGTAAGCTCTGGTCTTCTTGCTGGAGATGTCTGGTGGAAGAGACCCCCACACCCGTATATGGAACACGATTGGAAGGCGGTTGGAAGACGGTTGGAAGGCAGATGTATATCTCAAGGAAAGGGGGAGAGACGAGATCGTGTCCTTGAGATAGGGAGGGGGTGGGGGGAATGGGTGTGTAGGGGGAGTGGCAAGGAACAAGGGTTTAAAAGCGCAAGGGCTTGCAGTAAGAATCCACAGAGTTTGTTCGGGTGTCTTCCTTTGTCGTCCAGACTTCGGTGAGTCATTCTTGCATGTTTATGTTTTTTGATGGTGTGTTTGTATTCGTTGCACCATTGGGAATTATATGTATGGTTCTTGCAGGTGGGGAACTGATTGGTTGATCTTGCGGTGTCTTCGTTGCTATTCACGCGTCAAATACGTACGGAAGAGAGATGCCGGCACCTGGTCTTTATTTTTTTCAAGAATAAAGAAAATTTTGATGTAGAGGGCACCCTTCCTTAATGCCAACCACGTGGGAATGGGCGAAACATCTTGCAGCCTCTCCTCGACAATTTGAAAATCTCACAACCGCCAAAATCCGCCGAACCAGGAAATCGGGTTGTAAATCCTCCTTCCGTGCGTTGGATGGGACATGGGACGGGGAAGGATCTGCTCTCGTGTCGTCCGCTAGATGATGGTGTTTCAGTACTCGTATTGTAGCCTGTATGGCGGCAGGAATTACTAGTATTTGGGTTCAGTTCACATCAAGATTAATGTATGGTGCCAGAGACCGTGGGGATCAGTTACTATTTCGCTCTGTAGTTCCCGCAAGTGACCTGTGAGGTGGGGCGGTTGACCTGTCGTTCGCCAGATGATGCAAGGGAATTGGAGATATCAGGAAGTCTTGCTTACCTTTTTGACGCGGTTGATGGACAACAGAGACTCCAGGAGCAGGTTCATTATATTTTGTGCTTAATGTTTCGATTCTTGGAGATATATACAGAACCTACTGCTTGGTGACATCGTGCGACGTCGGGTTCCGATCATCGACCTATCTTCAACTCTTCCTGAAGGGAATCCTTTGGATAGAAGGGAGAAATGAAGCATCTTGGCAGCATCTTTTGCGTCGACGCGAGATCTGGAGACATCCTACGTGAGCCCATGTCCCTGACCTGCCGAGGAAAGGGGGGAGGGGGGGAAATTGTGTCACGCCGACTCCAACATCTTTCCAGATCGAAGTGAGTAAGTCAAGCGTGGAAATTGACGATTTTTTTTTTTGCAGATATCTGATGACCCTGAAAATCCTCTGAAAGAGGACCCGAACGAAGGAATCGTGGAAGAGCCCTTTGAAATACCAGAGCTTCGCGAAAGGCTTCGCGTTAGTCGGCCCACCACTTTATCCTCGACATTCCTGTATTAGCACAATTCGGAGAACCCAAATATTATGGAACGTGTGCAAAAGTTCCAGGCGACTCCTCACCCCCTATTTTTAAATGAAACATTCAAGTTTCTTATGTGACGGTATTCCACCTCCATGAGACTTTTGTTTTTCATTCAAGTGGAATGTTTGCAAGCCGAATGTGTTGTAGAATGAGTGTTCGAATGGCATCATTTGGAATCATAATGCCGACTGCGGTTGAAGAAATCGTAGAGAGATCTGGAAGCTTATTAATATCCGCTCTTGTTGTCGTGTCGTTCACATTAAATGACGTCACTCTCGGGTGAGAGCATCTGGCTGCAGAACGTAGTGAACTATGAGGGCACCGAATAGGGAAGTACGAACGGGACATCATGGGATAACTGGAAGCGTCAGCAGAGCCACACTGAGAGAAGGACGAACCCAGAGACCCAAGTTCTGAAGCTAAGGCCCAAGCTGCGGTTCTGACCGATCGTTCCGACACGACCCGCAGGTGGGGTCTGTAAAGCTCGGTCTGGCGATCGAGTTCCTGGTCTGGTTCCATCCACGATTCGAATCGGACCGATCGGCCGAAAAAGGCGACCCGTGCAGGCCTCCGGCGATCGGACAGGAGGACAGGAGGACGTCGGCTATTACTACATGGAAGACTATCTGGTACCCGTGAAACTTTCATGTCCTCGTACTTGAGGTTAAGCGACGTATGTCCCGAAGCATTTAAATAAAACGCAGCTGGAATTTTCAACAGTCAGGTGAATAATATTGAGTTCGTCCTGTCATTCACCTTCCCCAAATCCCAGAATTTCTCAATCTGCGAAATTTCAATGCGTTCGGTTCTACAGTGTGACAAAAGTCACTTGACAAATGAGAAAAAGAAATTATGTCTAAAATCTTTGTTTTTGCTTCGTAGGTGTTCACTAAATACGTGTTACAATTTTCAGTCATGAACTTTTCGGTCGTTTTGACTTACGTCTCTGGTATTTTGACTGAATAACCTATTTCATAATCAGTGGATCGTACGGGGTGTGTCTGTGTCATGGCCCCCTCGATCACCTGTCTTCACTCCCCCGGATTTCATCCTCTGGGGCTATGTTAAACAGTACTGTGGTTCACGGAGAACAGTTTGAGCATTTCCGCTAGTTCATAAATAAAGATTTTAGGCAAAGGGGTTTTTTCTCATTCGTCAAGTGAATTTTGTCACACTGTATACTATTCAATTGAGACGCACTGTACGAATTAGGAACTCATGTCTATCAGATGAAGAAGAGTTCCTTATCATCACCAGAGACCCCCCAATTACCCATTATAGGAATTTCTATCTCGGAGGATTCTAGGGATAACTTTCGAATTCCAATCTGCAAGGTTTGGATCTATAATAAGGGATCAAGTAACCTGTAATTGCACGAATGCACATTTTCAGCGAGTGCCGCCTCGTATCATTTGAGTGAGATACGAGGGCCACTCAATAAGTTATCTACCTGAATATGAAAGGGATGAGCAACAGGCCTGTGCCTGCTGTGACATGCCTGGACAGNTTTCTGATTGGTTTGATGGACAAGAAGTTGACTTCTATTCCCAGGGAATAAAATCCTTGGAATCAAGGTGGAATAAGTGTGTTGAGTTAAAAGGTGACTGGATTGAAAAATAAAGTATAATTTTTCCCCTTGGATGTTTCTTTCTTATTCAGGTAGATAACCTTATTGAGTGACCCTAGTACGTCGTTCGAATTTCGAACACATGGACATTGGATGAAGTACGATTTTGAACCATACCCGGGATGAGTTTCAGCTCTCGGGACGGACCCGACCCGCGGATGGGGCAGGCATCTCGGAAGGCAGTCAAGATTCCTGTTGTGTGCAGGCGAATGCATCATCAGAGGGATCTCTTTCTCTAGCCGCTTACAGTAGCTGGCGGTAATGAAACCTCGTTCCGTCAACGTTCGACGCGTCCACGTCATTAAATGACGGCATTCTCAGGCAAGCAGCTGGCAGCGGAACGTCGCGAACTATGAGAGCACTGAACAGCCCAGCACGAACGTGACGTCATGGGATCGTCAGCCAGAAGCGTCAACAGTGGCAGCAGAGCCTCTTAGAAAAAGGACATACCCAGAGACCCCAAATTCTGAAGTTTAGCGGCCTGAGGGAGCTGCGGGCCGGCTCGATCGGCCCTACACGACCCTACATGAACTGCAAAGCTCGGTCTGGCGATCGAGTTCCTACCGGGAGTCGGGTTATTACCACGTTTCGAATCGTGGTCCTGTCAGTTCGGAAAAGTCAACCAGTGCAGGCCACCGGCGGACAGACGGAGGACATCAGCTATTATCATATCGACTAGCCGGTACCCGTGAAACATTCACTTCTTCTTATTTGAGATTAAGCGAATCATGTCCCAAAGCCTTTAAATGAAACACGCTGTTGTAATTTTTAGCAGTCATATTTCGAATCAATAATATTGCGCGCGCCCCGCCATTCCCCCCCGCCCCCTCCCTTAAACCAATCCCAGAATTACCCTATATACCAAAATAGAGGTTTGGTTCCATAACATTCACATGAGACTATTTGTACGAATTCGAAACTTAGTTGTATCAGATGCCGGAGGGAAGATGCTTCCCATCCTCTTAGCTCTCAAATTTCCCTTTTTAGTTCCCGAGTTTAATCTCTATTGGACTGTCCCGACCCGCGGATCGGGCCAGCAGCTCGGTCCGGAATCGTGTTTCCTGTTAGGTGCAGGCGAATACGTGTCAGAAGGATTTTTTTTTTCAATAAAAGGCACGTCGTTCCGTCAGCGCTCGACGCGATCACGTCATTCAATGACGTCACACTCGGGCAAGCAGCTGGCAGCGAAACGCAGTGAACGATGGCAACACGACAGGCCCACACGAACGTGACGTCATGGGAAAACTGGATGCGTCAGTGGCGCCGCTTAGAAAGAGGACGAACCCAGAGACCCCGAGTTCTAAACTCAGAGGCATAAGCGGGCTGTGGGTCGGTGCGATCGGCCCGACACGACCCGCTGGGGGGGGGGGGGGGAGGGTCCGTGAAGCCCGGTCTGGGGGGGGGGGGGGGGGGGGGGGGGGGGGAAGGATCCGTGAAGCTCGGTCCAGCGATCGAGCTTCGGGTCTGGTAGGACCACGATTCGAATCGGACAAATCGGGTCGGTTTCGGAAAAGTTCATCCGCGCAAGCCTCAGGCGGACAGACTGGAAGACGTAACCCGTCAGATATTTACGTGTGATTGGGGCAAATGGAATTCAGTCGAATAGCATTAAAATGAGGCATTTCCCAGGATTTTTTGAACCGCCAAATTTGGGGTCATTAATAAAGAGATAGAGTATGTGAGATTCTCCAGTCATCAGAGGCCCCCAAAGCCCATAAAACCCCCAACCCCAGTGACTGTAAGGAAATTATTAAGCGAGATCCCCCGACTCGTCTCACTCGAGTGCTGGGGATGATTTCGAGCTCCGCAGGGAATTTGGATGAGCTCTATCAGGCAGACCCGACCGGCGGATCGGTTGGCAATCAACTTTCATGTTGGGTGCAGGCGAATACATTAGAATACACTCAGGTACTCAGCAGCTGTAAACGGCTCGAGAAAAATTCTCGAGCCGGCTACAGCTGCTGGCAATAAGGACGCCTCGTTCCGTCGGCGCTCGATGCGAACGTAGTGAATGTGGAACGTAGTGAACTGTGAGTTCGCAACGAACAGGCCAACATCAATGTGACGTCATGGGACGTCGGGTGGAAGCCTTAGCAGAGCCGGTAGAGCCGCTCAGAAAAAAGACGAACCCACAGACCCGGAGTTCCGAAGTTTAGGGGCCTAAGCAGGCTGCGGTCCGGACCGATCGGTCCGACACGATCCGCGGGTCGGACTCAAAAGGTTCGGTCGGCATTTGAGCTCCGGATTCGAATCGGCTCAATCGGGTAGGGTCGGGTCCGGGAAAGTCGACCCGCACAGGCCTCCAGCGGACAGGAGTACATCGGCTATTATTATGTACCCTGTACACTCTTAGAAAAAGGGGAGCGATTTTTCTCAAAAAAGAGAGCAAAATAGCTAACTCCAGTTTCACCCCCCTTTCACTCTGGGAAAGGAACAAATTTACTCCATCATGAAGGAGTAAAATTACTCTCCTCCTCCGTGAGTAAAAACGCTTCCATCAGAAAGTGATAGGGATGTCGTGCAAACGCGAAAATTCATTATATACTCTGTCGCTATCTCTCTCGTACATGCGTTGACCTACCTCTGACTACTGATTACATCACACGTCAGAGGGTGGACCACCTCTTATTGGTTCCGTGGAGTAGTCCGGGATATCAGTCCTTATCACCTCATTGAATTGAGGCATGTGGGAATGAAGTTCACTGGCACTCTCTACGCATTCTAGATCTCCTATGAGGATAAAATCACCCGCGTTCCAAGGCGGTTCTCAATAGGAATATGAGCTTGTTTATGGCCTGGACTCTATGAGTACGTCTTGAATATGTGGATAACAAATGATGAAGTGTCCGTGTTTATTGATTCCTATAATGCGACTAGGTGAGACATATGGCAAGGTACTAAACAATCCTGCAAGGGACGATTCCAGGGAAAGAGGGAAGGGNTTGCTTGCTTATGTTTTACTGTATAGCGGTGAAAGTGCGTGTTTAGTTGTGTCAATTCGATACGCGATTGGGAATGATATGTTTTTATCCTTGCAGGTGGGGAACTGATTTGCTGAAGAAATCTGGCCAAGCTAAACAAAGGGCGCTATTTTCGCTCTACAGTGCTACTATTCTCCCCTAGTCATTTCTTCCTCAAATCGCTCCGATTTCCTTGTGAGGCACGATCGAAGAGTGGATTCCATCTTCACGAGACGAGATACACTAACGAAAGCTGGGGAATGCAATTTCTTATATCCAGATGCCCATTTCAAGGCAGGTGAATCCCATCAAGTTGGTTCTCTCCCGGTCTCCAAACTTTGTCTGACGAATATGTAGACGTTCTTTTTTCTTTTTTGCATCATGACTCAATTCAAAAGACTTCCTCTCTCTTTCTCGAAAGAACAGTTCAACTTACCTATTTAATATTTTACAGGTACCCTTCAAACCTCTATTTCCATTTTACATTCCTTGTTACCTATTGCAACAGTGGATATGAGTCAGAAATGATACAAGCTTGGATTTGAAAATATGAATAATACGGACCACGTTCATGCAGCAGCTGAAGCGAACATGGCGCCCATGCGTGTCAACTGATCAGATGCGTCGAAAAATGTGATCCAAGTTGGCCAGGATCACTCTCACTCTCCAGAGACTCTCCAGGGATCACTCTCCAGGGACTCTCTGAGGCGGGGAGAGCTGGGGAGTGGTTCAGTTGGTAGCTTTCTAGGTTCCCATGGCAAGGGACCTGGGTTCGAAACCAAACAAATAAGGCTTTTTTTTCCGAGTGCAAGCCCCGTCATGGGGAAAGGGAGACCCCTAGGCAATATGTACTTCCGTCCCGAGACGTGGGAGATTTGAAGTATCCAAGTGGTGGAGGCTGAACTCGTATAATCATTCGGAAAAATTGAGGTTACTCGGTACTCGGCTATTAGTTGAGCTAAGAGCATGGTGGGGAAATTGGAGGAATTCCAGATTGAATATAGACGCCTCGCTATGAACAAATGTTGCCTCACCTTGCAAGAGCAAAATCCCAATTCAAAAGAGAAATCCCAGCTAGGATTGCCAAGGTTCATTTTCTGGAATTATCAGTCATCGGACTAAAACTACTATGGTCACCACCTCCTTTGATTTCTTTCTTCAAAAATCTGTTTACG